ACAAAACTACATCTGCCTTCTGATCTGCTCTTCAGTCTTACGATGCTATTTTGGTATCTCCTCCTGTTCCACCAGTGAAGCCATCGCTCACTGTGTCCCACACAGATGTGCACCTTCATCAGCCAGGCACAAAAAGCACTTCCTGAACTAAGCCATAAATCAGAGTTCTTTCCGTCCTATAAAATAACTCAGCTTGTGTGTATGCGTGTGTGACTGTACTAACCTGGAAACAAAATTACAAATATAGGAAGAAACACGTATTTATCCTTCCTGCAGGTATCACCTACCTCCATCATTCTTAAGTTTTCTGGGTAAGGACTGTATCTTCACCTGCAGTTATGCATCACTTTCCACTATCCCCCATCCCAGCGGGGTATCTAGCACTACGTATCACCAAGATGCAAAATACAAAGTACTGTGTGTACTCTAAGGTCCAATAATATGGTATATCAAATGTGAAACTTCCCTATACCATCTGATATCAAAATTCACATGACATACAGGAAGGGAGTACACTTTTTTTACTCAGCAACTAAAAGGCACGTGGTTTGGCAAAATTCGTATCATGTACTGCAAATGCCAACAGAGCAAACACAGCATAACAGCAATCTTGGTTTGGAAGACAAACACTGCAGCTTCACCAGCAACACTCAGTTTTGGCACTTGTAACAGTACCTAACAACAGACAGACCAACAAATTACTTGGATTATTTTGCTTATACATAGATACTAACTCTCCTTGTGTATTTTTTCTCCCTCAGATGTGCCTGACTGACGATGAGCCAATATGTGCAATCTGTAAACTCTTTGGAAAACACAAGGACCAATGTTGCAAAAGTATCAGAAGCTTACAATGCAAGAAAAAAAGCATTTATAAAAAAATTACACTTAGTTCACAAGAAATCTGAAGAAGCTAGGAAGGTACAAGTGACTCATCTGAGATGATACTAACAAAATCACATGATCCCTGGATGTTTGACAGAAGATTAGAGAGCTGCATTTTGATTCCGACAGTAGGCAGTCAATTTGTAGATTTTCAAGAGAGGCTTAGGATATACAAGATAAAATGGCTTAGCAGGAGGAGAATAAGAACATATTTTAATCCTTACTTAGATTGTATTATAGGCCTGGCCAAACTGGCTCTTTGTCTTTTGTTCACCTAGTTATAACATGAGCTTTGAATACCAAAGCTTTTCTCACATCTTCAAAATTTGTTAATGTTCATTAAGTAGATGAAGAAACATACCAAGACATATTACTGGATGTGGGCTTGCAAATTTTAACTGCTGTTCTCTGCAAAGAACATGCAGTACATGCAATCTGCCATCCCAAATACTTGCAGTAACACATGTACAGAGCACAAATATTCCTGCAGAATACCTTGTGACCAATGCCTTTACTAGATAAGTGGGCTTGCAAGGAGGCACTTAAGAGCTGGTGGAAAAAACTGGCACCTTACTACTCTTATCTTTATCCAAAGGTATCGTGTGTTTGAATAGTTCCTAAGTCTCAAAGTAGATGGCTTATTCTTTGAAAGACATGCAGACATCACCTGGATATGCTCATGTCCTGGTCAGTGCAGTTAACACGCTACTCCGCTCCCACCTTGCTGATCGGCAGGGGATCCCACCTTCCCAGAAGTGCTGCTGTGTCTCATGTGACTTCACTGATGCACTAACCTTGGCAAAGCTGCAGCCCAGCTTTATTCCCAGCTTCCCCTAGTGAAAGGGTTACGGAAATACCAGTAGCCTTTTCATTCTCAGTACATGAAGAGCAAGTAGGCCACATCTCGCCTGAAAAAAACTTGCAAACCCAAACAATTTATACAGTTTCTCTCACTGAACTGACTGCTAGTTCCCTCCTCTGCTCACCTTGGTGCTACCTCCACAACGAAGGCTTGAGCACAGCACACAGTTGCCACAGGTTCCTAAAGAAAACAAATCACATTCCCAAGAAAAGACATTTTAAGAGATCTATTTTGAAAAGCACCCTGCAGTTCAGGTAACTTGCTAACCTAGAGACAAAATAGCAAAACATTTCAAAATGCATTTACAATTATTTATATTTTCATTTGGCTTTGAGCACTAACAGCTGCCAAAATTGTAGAAAGTACACAGCCTATAATGTGTATTGACATAAAATATTTTTTGAAAGTTAAAAGTGCATTTACCTACCCTGAACACTACTTGGAGACACGGTTATGATGCAATACTAACTTTTCATTAATTTATTTCACACAGGAAACTGAAAAGCTGACTAATGAGCTAACAGCTGGTGCTACAGACACCAAGGTAATGATTGACACAGTTGGAATGGGTTTGCTGAAGGGCATATGGTACCGAATGGCTGAACTGCAATCCAAGTTACACCATGACTATTCTACAAAACTGGAGAAACTGCAGGTAATCTCAAACGAGGCCAAAGCTTCTGGACAGCTTTATCAGCAAATGGAAACCCTCCTGGAACAGCACGAAAACTCTGTACAATTTCTACAGGAGGACAAAAAATTCAAGGAAAACATAGAAAAAGTGCTAGAAGGAAAAGGCTCCTATCAGGACCCACCAAAGCATAAAATTTCAATGCAACAGTATTTTGAAGAGCTCA